TGAAATTGTACTACCTCATCTGGGAAGAGATGACTTCCCCTACAAGCAGTCTGGGATCTGGGTGTTGTATTTTTTATTCTAACCCCAGGCAGTCACGCTGAAATCAAGCAGCCAAGAAGCTACTTCAAACCCACAAATCAAACCTCTGACATGGCTCCAAAATCTCCACGTTACCTCAAAGCACCTTCCTGAGCAGCACAAAATGCAGTGATACTTTACGTGCTCTTCTATAGGGATGCGCAGTAGCAAAGATATAACAATAACTAACAGTTTTCTCCAATTTAATGGCAAAAAATCTTAGCAGCTTCCAGACCTGAATGGAGACCACGCTGCAGTGTGTCATTAATACACCCACTCATGACTGTACTTTGGCTGCAAATGCAGGAAGAGTCTCTAAATTCTTAGGTAGTGAAGAAATACTGAAGCCAAACTAGGAGTTTACAGTCACAACCCAAATGAACTAGGAAAGTGAATTTAAAATACTAACTATTTTAAAGGTGATCCCTGGGGCCAAACAGGAGACAAGGCATCGCGTTTCTATAATTAGGAGTCTGTCGCCTAAGTTCGATCAGTCTGATTTAGATTCTAATGGCAATTAAACACTCAGATAATTTTTTTTAGCTAAACAGACAGGAATTAACCCAGCAAGAACGAATAGCACAGCTGCAGCTGCTGTCTGGCAATAAGCGAATGGCTGTGGGGTTTATTCCATTTGTTTCATAGCGGATCATTTACCCTCAACAGATTTCTGGGTAATACGACAGGAACATTTGCATTCCTCGTGAGAAAACCCTTCAGATATTTAAACAACTGCAAAAGTTATTTTAATCCCGCTTCCTGTTGACAGAACTTTCAGAAAATGATCCACATTTTTAAATAAAAGGCCCAATTATCCAGCACATGAACTTTAAAAAAATATTGAAACGTATTTGTGGAAACATTTTAGTATTTGTTACAAAAGCTGCTTCAAGGGGGGGAAAAAAAAACCCAAAACCCCAAACCCTAAATCCCTCAAAATGCTGCATGAACACGTTTGCCACGGCTGCTGTTCCCACAAAAGCTGAGTCTCTTGGAAAGCTGCAGAACCATGTAATAACAGTGGAAATATTTAGTAACAACTTCAAATCATTTGCTATAATCAAAAGTGTACAACACGTTCTACCAGGAGACTGGATAAAGAGTTGGGAGAGGAAACGATCCCCCAGACACTTACTGGGCCCTGGAGACCTCCATCCTCTCGGTCGATGCTGCCTCGGGAGAGCCGCACATCGGGTTTCTGAAACACAAAATTCAACATTTCGTTCTGTGCTCTGCTCGCCGATTCACGCGACCTAAGCTTAAAAGCATTTTAAAGACAGGAAAATACGGTTAAAAATTCACGCTGACGAATACAGCTGTCATTTCATTCCAGTCTATCCAGCCCCGCTGCCGCCACTGCAGCTACCGAAACCCCTGGCAGCCTCCTCGGCCGCTTCTCACCCCCCCGTTCCCAGCGCACGTGTAAAAGTGCTCGGGATAAATATCCACAGTACCGGTTCCCTAGCGCAACACTGGAAAACCTGCATGTTTGTTTTCCCAAAGGCAGGAAAAGTTGATTTTTTAAAATTTATTGGTTTTTTTAAATTCTTTGCTTCCCAACAGCCAAATTTCCACCCCGGGATGAGAAACGCTGCGCATTAATTCGCGCTTCCTGCCCGGGGCCGCCTTATATGTACTTGGCTCCCTTGCCAAGCCTGCAAATGGGGCCAATTCCTGGGGCTCTTCAAACACTGCGTTTGGATACAGAGAGCTAATAAACACATCCAGACGCATCATCCCCCTGATACAAGCAACAAATGAATTTATATTTTAAATGTTTTAAGCGAGATATAGGAAAAAACCGATTAAAAATGTTTTAAAAAGTAAAAATAGGACCACACTTTCTTTCACACAGAAATTGGTCATTTTTATCCCCAGCAAATCCCACTATGTTGTATTTATTCTTCGAGGTCAGTATTAATTACATGGAAAGACACAGGAAAAGTGGACATGAAGCAAAGGTTGACACTGATTTGAAGACATAAATTCAGCACAAATGAGAGTGCTTTTCTAGCGCACTAATTCTGGCACATAAAACCAAGGAGGATTTATCTGACTCTTCAGCTCACTGTACAGGACTGGATGAGTTGATGAAAATGGATAAAACACATATCTGTGTCAGTGTAAGTCCAATTTCCTTCCTATTTCTGTATGCATAACTACATGAAACAGACACAGCATGAGAATGGGAAAGTTTTATTTGGAGAAACGTAGGCGTGTGAATAGCAACTGGAACTAAACTGACCCCACGTCCCTTCAGGGTCAGGTTCAGGGGACAAATAAATCCATTTCTTCTTTAAAGCTACTCCAGATCCCTCTTCTTTCTTTCTAAAAGCACTAAAGAAAAATTCCAACTCGCATACCCTGGTAAATCACCCTAAAAACCCAGCAGGGCAGACAGAACTTGCAAAGTTACACTAATATCGATCTTTTATCATTCAGAATGCTCCAGTTGTGCTGGTGGTCTGTCAGAAAACCCAATTACTTTGGATTTTCATTCAGTTTTCTGCAGTCAGAGACAGTCACTGCCTGAAAGAACTTGCAGATTAAAAATAGACAAAATCATACAGACAGGGAAATATTTAACCCCATCCTCAACACGAAGAACTGAAGCAGACACAAGCAAGCAATTTCCCAATGTTTCTCTGGGAATTTGTGACAAATTTTGCGATGAAACCTGCTGTTGCCAAATCTCCGGTTTATTTCTTTTATTATGAGGATTTTTTTTCCGATTAAACTCTCATTTGGTAAGTGCATGTTAAATATGTCACTGGATATCTTAAGTAAGTCATGATTCTCCTATTTTTAAGCTAAAAATAACTGTATATCTAAGCATACGACTAAATACATTTCTCTTACATTGATGTTCACAATCTGCCTTCATTTCATGTTCGTTTCTAGCCAGGGAAGCGCCCAATGTCTCTGGACATAATCAAAGACTATTTTATCACAGGGGTCTTCAATGCTCTTTACACTTTTAATGACTTATTACTCCAGAAATGCACCCTAAACCAGACCCAAAAGAAATATCATAGAATGATAGAATCATTAAGGTTGGAAGAGACCTCGAAGATCATCAAGTTTAAAAGATTCAGAAGCATAAATGTACACTTTAGTCCAACTAACAGACTTTTTTATAGTATTATAAGAAAAATATTAAATTAACAGAGGTAATATCCATCTCCTCTGATCCTTGTCTTACTAACAAGGTTCTCCCCTTCAGCATCTGATCTCTCCAAAAGCCCAATTCTACAACCTCACATCACAGCAACAACTCAATCACCCAAGTCACCACCAGCAGCAAACGTGCAGCGTACGAGTGGACTTCAGGACATCACCTACATGAACAGCACACAACCACCGACCAACAGGCTAGGAATTGCTTCACAGAAAGTTGTAAATACACATAAAACACTGCTAAAATGAGCATTATCACAGAATCCCAGAATCATGAAGGTTGGAAGAGACCT